GTCTGTTCACAAGTCCAAATTCACCTCTATCGCTTGCAAACAATGTGTTAAATATGAAAAATACCTTTTGTATAGCACACCTAGATCACAGTACTACATCATACGACATTGATTTTGGTCCTCTAGCCACAAACACAGAAGTTTTTTCTTCTCATCATGCAATTTTCCTCTTTTCTTACTTAGGCACAGAATGTTTTACATGCTCCATAATTCTTTCTTTGTCCTTTAAATACAGTCAAACGATTCAGTTCAAAAGCAAGAGCCACATTTGTCATCTTATCACCTCTTTCCACATGCTTTATTATCTCTAGTTTCATTTCTATTGTAATTGTGTGTCTTTTCTTACTTGCACTCTCATCACTGGCACTACTTTAATGCTTCTCAGACATATTGGGTTCGATAATGTTCATAAAAGCCAAAAAATTAAGAGTAAAAACAAATTAAAAATAGAAGAGAAAAAACACTATATTAATCTACACCACAAATATGCTGTAAGCTTTTTGAAGTGAGACAGATTGCATAAGTATAGAAACACAGAAGAAGGCAGTGCATTCCACAGTTTGGCTGTGTGAGGAAAGAAGGCTGTAATATAATGGGTTATTCTAGTGTGACCGACTCCACACAGAAACGGTGGGCACCGCAGGCAAGACAGGTGTTACGAGCCCAAGGCCTTGCCGGCAGTACACAGGATGCCAAATCCACCGAACATTGCCCGTTAAAGTACCTGTAAGAGAGAGAGAGTGAAGCAACATTGCGGTGAAGAGAAAGGGAAGAGGGATTATTGACTAAAGGAGGAGAATTAATAAGACGAAATGCCTTTGATTCCACCCTATGTAACAGTTGGACAGAAGAAGAGCCACCCCAGATATGAGAGCTGTACTCCAAGTTAGGACATATGAATCCCTTATAAACTTAAAGCATCTGTTCAGGAATGACATATGCTATATATATATATATTCATAAATGTCTCATAATCTGAAATGTTTCATATTTTAAAATGTTACCATATATTACAAAATTTGTAATAAATATTTCTTAACAGCAAAACATTATGAATTACCGTATGAGTGATTTTGAATTTGAGGGTACGAATTATGGAGGTTTTATTGTACTGTACAGTGTACATAGACCTTGCAGGAATGTAATATCCAATGTACACAAACGGTGGTAAACAGGGTAACCAACAAAGCCATCAGATGCTTGTTTCTTGTAGGGTCCAGATTTAACATTAAGCATGAAACTAGTAAGCTACAGTATGTATGAGGAATGGTAAGAAGTAGTATTTACTGATCTTCATGTTTGTTATAGTGTTTCTTACCTTCAGAGAGTTATGTTCCCTCCTTCACTCACTGTCTCTGTGTGTAAAAGTTTCTATTGCATCATTTATGAGTATGAGTTTCATGTCCCCGAAGGTGCCTCTCCGTAGGGCTCTAAAAGCTGCTTTATTTTCAGATATCTTTCAGAAATTTCAGTCTACACTCCACGACCTTGATGATGCCTAAGTTAGGCCATATCATTTGTCTATGGGCCTTAATCTCTGTCTACAGCCCTTATTCTTTCTGTTTATAGCCCTTAATATCTCTGTTTACAGCACTTATTCTCTCTGTCTACAGTCCTTATTTTCTGTCTTTGGCCCTTAATTTCTCTTGTCTGTGGCACATAATCAGTCTGTCTACAGCCCCTTCTCTCTGTTTATGGCCCTTAATCTCTGTCAATAGTCCTTATTCTGTCTATGACATTTTGATACTTTTCAGGACATATAATACACACACTTAAAGGTTCTCTCCTGTTTATTATAATAAGCTTTTTGGGGTCAAGAGCTGCTACACACACACACACACACACACACACACACACACACACACACACACACACACACACACACACACACACACACACACACACACACACACACACACACACACACACACACACACACACACACACACACACACACACACACACACACACACACACACACACACACACACACACACACACACACACACACACACACACACACACACACACACACACAGCCACACACACACACACACACACACACACACACACACACACACACACACACACACACACACACACACACACACACATCCTTGACCACCGAAGGGTCAAGACGTACCTGGCGCTCCTCTCGGAGCAGCCAGGTCAACTGTTATGTTGGCCCATACCAACTCTCTCCCCTGAACCCTCCTCCCCACCGGAATATCAACAAGTTCACGCCAGAAGTTACTATTTCATTTAGGAAAGAAATGGAACCAGTGTTAAACAGAGGTGAACAGTGGTGAACAGTGCTTAAGCCAGTGAGAACAACTCAACAGTAACAGTGGTACCCAAGTTGACCTTTCACACAGTGAGGTCCCAGGTACCCAGTGATAACGGCCCGTGAGACCCAACTACCAGCGATGTGTTAATCCGTCTACGATAGGAAGGCCTGGAACCACACCTCACTCATATAACACCATCTGTGAGGGAATTACTACACCACGTGAGGCCCCTCATAACACCATATGTGAAGGAGTTACTACACCACGTGAGGCCCCTCATAACACCATCTGTGAGGGAATTACTACACCACGTGAGGCCCCTCATAACACCATCTGTGAGGGAATTACTACACCACGTCAGGTCCCTCATAACACCATCTGTGAGGGAATTACCACACCACGTCAGGTCCCTAATAACACCATCTGTGAGGGAATTACTACACCACGTGAGGGCCCTCATAACACCATCTGTGAGGTAATTACACCACGTGAGGTCCCCCATAACACCTTCTGTGAGGGAATTACTACACCACGTGAGGTCCCTCCTAACACCATCTGTGAGGGAATTACTACACCACGTGAGGCCCTCATAACACCATCTGTGAGGGGAACTACTACACCAGTTTGAGGTCCTCTCCAACACCATCTGGGAGGGAGTTACTACACATGAGTTTGCTGTTCAACACTACATTAATCTGTATATTTCACTGTATGTCCTTTGCTTCTAACGTATAGCTTTGTTAAACCACCAATGTATGTAATAAGTCATTTATGTCCAATATATTTTCAGCCTTCACTGCAGAACTTTTTTCAATAAACCGTTAATTATTATTACACACACACACACACACACACACACACACACACACACACACACACACACACACACACACACACACACACACACACACACACACACACACACACACACACACACACACACACACACACACACACACACACACACACACACACACACACACACACACACACACACACACACACACACACACACACACACACACACACACACACACACACACACACACACACACACACACACACACACACACACACACACACACACACACACACACACACACACACACACACACACACACACACACACACACACACACACACACACACACACACACACACACACACACACACACACACACACACACACACACACACACACACACACACACACACACACACACACACACACACACACACACACACACACACACACCCTATATTCCATTTTGGGGTCAAGTGCTACACACACACCATACACACACACACTATATTCCATTTTTGGGGTCAAGAGCTGCTACACACACACACACTATATTCCGGCTTTGGGTCACCCCATTTTTGGGGTCAAGAGCTACACACACACACATATTCCATTTTGGGGGTCAAGACATACACACACACACACCATATTCCATTTTGGGGTCAAGAGCTGCTACACACACACACACACACACACATGCACACATTCATATTCCTTTTTGGGGTCAAGAGCTGCTACACACACACCATATTCTTTTATGTTATAAAATGTCATTGATGGACATTCCTAGCTAGGTAAACATCAGCTAATTTGACTCAATTCTTCTTAAATCCTAAATGTTCGTTCATCTTTATACCCTGCATTTTCACTTCTCATTTTACCACCTATTAGTTCTGTCATCTGTTTCTTTGTATAAGAAGACTGTGGTTGATATATACAGCTTATTTACCTGTATGCTTTACATTTATTCGCCGAAAATCATATATGAGATGTTGCATATGAAACAAATTAATTTCTTATACAAATTAATATGGTACTTGTGGAAATTTTACGGGGCATCTCCTGATAATATATAGCATATGTGCATGAGAGGCTATTCGAGGTGTCTTTGGAACGTGTCTTTGAAATTGTTGAACATGGTTTTTGTACTGTAGTGCTTTCATATTTGCTTCTTTCAGTTGATTGTGCTCTGCTTGAATGACTATGCATCTGTTTTTGCCAGTCATGTGAAACCAACTGTGACCAAGTTTCTATTCTGCATAGAATTATTGTAATTTGTGTTTATTTTTAATTTTGTATGCTAGTTTTCCTTGTTTATTTTTGAAGTTGCAAGTTTTGGAGTTTTGTGACAGAGTTTGGAAGAACCAACCCAAGGCAGCTCCAACTATGACCAGATGACCCCTGCTGTGGTCAAGCCCAGTAACAGAGAAATGTACATGGATCCACCGAACATCACAAACATTGTCGAGACACCATTCCAGGTTATACAACTACCTTATTGTTTTGTTAAATGTTGTGTTAATACTGTAATGTCTTTTTATTCTTGTATGCTTGTGATTTTGTTTTTCAATCTATTTCTGTGTGTATTACAGTACAGCACATGTTGTCTCTCCTCATAGTTAACAATGGTAGAATTTGTGAGTAAGCCATTTTTTTGTTTAGTATTACAGGTAGATTGATTTGCTAAAAAATATTAGTGTAAGTCATCTTTCTGACAGTCTATAAATATGTTTATTTTGGGGTGATAAATCACAAAGAAATTTGATAAAGGGAAACACATTTTTTTTTAATAATTTGCTTTACAGTAATCTTATTCATGAGTTCATTATTTTTTACCAATCTGTATTTATATATTTTTTATTCACCATCATTTGCTTAAATTGGCTGTCTTATTTGTATTTACAATTTATAATCAACGTTAAAAAGAATTTTGATTGTATAGTTTTCTATTTAAGGTTGCTTTTTGCTCTTGTATCAATACTGTAGTTGTGCACAGTGTTGCATGGTGGCACAATTTTTGTTTTAGCATTTTGACATAGTTAAACTTTTTGAATGATCTTGTGAATGATAGAGTAGATACACATGATCAGTGTGAAGGATAGGGTGTGGTATTCACGTGAGTTATATGGGGCAATTTCAGGTTCCTTATGAGATTGGCATTGTGCGCCAGTTTCCGTTCAGCAGCAGTAGTCAACGAATGTCAGTCATAGTGAGGATGCTGGGCCAACAACACATGGATCTGTATGCTAAAGGGGCTCCTGAGGTGATTCAGTCTCTCTGCCGACCTGAATCAGGTTAGTAAAGTGAGAGTTTGTACATCTTATTACTGTGTGGTTATTTGTGGCAAAGTAGTATGTACAGTATACCTTGTACAGCAGTACTTCATATAGGTCATGTATAGTACCGGGTACTTAGTTCTTATTGAGCAGTTGGTCATATTGTTTGTGGAAAATAAGTACAGTACTGTATTTAATTCTTACATTGTATGGTAAGATATGAACCTCAGGCTTGTTTTATCACACTGTTTGTAAATCAAATTCTTACACATGTGGGGTGGGTTAGTGCCTTTGTTTTACAGTTGCCTTTGTAGTCCATCATAAAGGTATTAACTACATCTACATCTTGGTCAGTAAGGTTATTCTGTAAATTGCAACCACGTGAAGAAGTTTTTTATATATATATATATATATGTAGTTCCTGTATTTGAATGTCATTGGCTATAAGAGTGATATTCACAGGTGGATGGTGAGAGGAAGAGGGGAAGACTTTAAGTAGGAGATGAAAAGAGGAAAAGAAGTGAAGTCCTCCCCTCCCTGGTAAAGTCTCAAATACCCATCTGGCTTACCTTTTCACTTCACATAATTTTCACCCATCAGAAGTACATGTTTCCCTACAAATCATGTCCTGCACTCATTTATGTACTGGACACTGCTGCTTTCTGGATTTCCATTCACCTCTCTTGTAGTTTGTCCAGCCCATCCTTCCATCTATAAAATTGAGAAAAAATGAGCTTCAACACATGAGCTATTGTCTTTTAGATAATTTTTTCTTTTTCTTGGTAGGAGTGTGGATATTATAAGATATAGTACAGTACCATAGGTTATTTTTCAGTAAGTCATGTAGTTAGTGCTAATATTTGAGTACAGTACATCATGTATATTAAGCTTGACTGTTGGTTGTAGCATAATTTGAATGCTCATCTTAATTGCTTCTTAACAGTACCAGATGACCTGGGACCTATCCTAACCCAGTACACGGTGCAAGGTTTCCGTGTCATAGCTCTTGCCTACCGCACAATAAAGACTAAGCTATCCTGGCACGCTGCTCAGAGAATTTCCAGGGATCAGGTAAGTTGAATTTTTTGTGACTGGATATAGTCATGACATAGATCAAGACCACAAATGAGAGACCTTTTTTAAGTTTAGCCTTTATGAATCACCTAAAGATTAGCTCCAGATATTTTGGGGGTTTTAAGGTAGTTAAACTGGAGGGGGGCGACTGCCCAGGTGATCCATAAGGGCTAAATTTATAAGAGGATTTGGTCTTGAGGAGATCACTAATCTGTACATGGATAATAATCTTGTAGGATTTATTGTTGTGTAAGTTTTTGTCTTGTGAATTAATATGAATTTGTTTAAATGTTGATGTAAGATGGAGTATAATTTGATGGATTCTTGTTACTACAGTTTATACAGGTTGAGTATAATAGTAGTATTACCTCTCTTTACCGAACTTCTAGATATTGAAATTTGCTATACAATATGCCCTTCAAGTTTGTGGGGGTTAGGTTCTCAAAATGGTCGCAAATCGCCAAATCCGCGAATAACATTTGCTGATCGGGGGGTACATTTTTTACTTGTGTACAAGGAAATGTATATTCCTTTGTATGTTTGCCCTTAGGACAATTACTCTTCTACCTGTATTGTGTACATGTGTGTGTGTGTGTGTATGTAGACACACACAAACACATACAAATAAAAAATAGTGGGAAAATCCTTTCACAAATAATCAGAAAAAAATTATTAAAAATGTTGATTCTACCCTCAAGTCCACTCCGGGCTTTATTAATAACAAAGCATGGCGTGGCTATTTATTCTTGAAGAATTCCATTAGTTTTCTTTGTTTATTTAAAAAAATTTTCAAACCTATGTCAGACTGGGACTTATTCTCCTATCTCAGATATTATGAAAATTAACAAACTGCAGTACTGTACAGTATTTACCTTAACTCACACAAGATAAATTCATACAGATGTTGTATGATGTTTTTGTCTTGTGTTACCAAACTATATTTTCTTTTAGAAAAAATTCTGATGGTGTGACAATTTACCTGGACTAAAAATACTAAAAAAAATTCATGTTTTTTTTTACTGTACAGGAGCTCCCCTACTTACGAACATTCAAGTTTACGAACTTTCAGAGATATGAACAAACCTGTCCGTATGTCCAATTGCCCAATTTCCTGTTCGAAAACCGTGCTGGGTCGTAAGTTCAGCCGCCGCTCGATAGATGGCGTTGGCTGTTCAGCCTCACCCTGTATCCCTAGCGCCATTGTTGTTGTTGTGTTTCTCTGCTGCCTCACGGTTTTATTTGTGGTTATTTGTGGTTATTTGTGGTTTTGACGAATATTATTGACCCCAACATGTCTCAGAAGTGTGATGGTGGTAGTAGGAAGCGTCACACTATTATGTTGAAAACTAAGGTGGACATTATAAACCGTTGTGAAAGAGGTGAGAAAATGATAAGCATAGTAAATGCTCTTAGGATGAATCGTTCGACTGTTGGGACAATTTTGAAAGACAAAGAGCGCATTATGCAACGTGTGAAAGGTTCTGTGCCAATGCATTCCACGATCATCAGTAAGAAAAGAGGCTCAGTGACCGCAGGGATGGAAAAACTTTTGAGTGTGTGGCTGGAAGACCAGCATCAGCACCGCATGCCTTTAAGCCTTAACTTAATTCAGCGGAAGGCCATACGGTAAGTCTCTTTGAAGACGTAAAGGCTAAACATGATGAGAGTGTTGCTGAAGAAACATTTACTGCTAGCCATGGTTGGTTCCACAGGTTTAAGGCTCATTCAAACCTGCACAACATAAGAGTGAGTGCTGAGGCTGCCAGTGCTGACATGGTAGCAGCCAGGGAGTTTCCTAAGCTTTTGTCGGAAATTATTGATGACGGGGGTTACCTACCAGAGCAGGTGTTTAATGTGGATGAGACCGGTTTATACTGGAAGAAAATGCCTGATCGTACATACATCACCAAAGAAGAGAAGACTATGCCTGGTTTCAAGGCATTGAAGGATAGACTTACACTCCTGCTTGGTGGAATTGCTGCTGGTGACTGCAAACAAAAACCTTTGTTAGTGTATCATTCCGAAAACCCCAGGGCCCTCAAGGGTGTTGTCAAAGCTTTACTTCCTGTTGTGTGGAAGGCTAACTCTAAGGCATGGATGATTCAAGTCCTCTTCGAAGACTGGTTTTTCCATAATTTTGTACCTGATATGGAAAAGTACTGCAACAACAAAAACCTGCCCTTCAAGATCCTGCTTGTGCTAGATAATGCCCCTGGTCATCCATCATTCCTGGACGATTTCCACGCCAACATCAAGGTGGTGTACTTGCCTCCCAATACCACCTCTGTCCTGCAGCCTATGGACCAAAGTGTCACAGCAAGTTTTAAAGCATACTACATGCGGAGAACTTTCACACAGGCTGTGAAGGAGACAGAAGGGGGAGAGTGGAGTGACACTGAGAGAGTTCTGGAAGAACTACAACATCTACAAGGCCATTAAGAACATTGATGCTTCCTGGCGTGAGGTTAAGACTTCCAACATGAATGGTGTTTGGAAGAAGCTCTGCCCACAATTTTTGCCAATGACTTCAAGGGATTTGCAGAGAATGTGGATTCAGTGGCCAACAACCTAGTGGAACTGGGCAAGCAACTACATTTGGAAATGGAGGAAGATGATGTCCACGAATTGTTGGAATGCCACACTCAGGAGCTGACCAACAAAGATTTGATGAAGCTGGAGTCACTCAGGGTCCAGGAGGAAGTTCCTGAGGAGGAACAGGAGGCTAAGGAACCCCAAAAGTTCAATTCTAAGCAGCTGGCTGAAGATTTCAGCATGATTGAGAAGGTACAGCTTCTTTTGAGTCTCAGGACCCAAACACTGAAAGATTTACAAAAGTGTCTGCAGTTGTTCACGATGCTATTGCCTGTTACAAGATAATTTATGAAGAAAAGAAGAGATTAACTGTGCAGACATCTCTTAATAAGGTTTTCAAGAGAGTTGAGATGGGACACAAGGAGCAAGGGAAATTATAATCTACAGAAAATCAAGATCCAATGCCATCTACATCTACAGGAGGTTATACAACCTTTAAAGCCATTCCCAGTGCCCCAGAACCAGATACCTGTACCTCAGACCCTGTTGATCCTCCATCTCCACCCTCATCTCTGTCCTCCAACTAACTCCAACACCCCTGTAAGCAACATCAGTCCCAGCAAGCAAGGCAGCACCAGGAATAAAGTAAGTACAGTAACCTTATAAATACCTTTATTTATTATTGCTATACATGCTATTTTTTATTTATTTATTTTTTTAACGTGGCCTCCATCCTCCCCCAATAGCTACACCTTCGCCGCCATTTTATTACCTTAAAATTAAATATCCTAATACATACCGGTAAGTAGCTATCCTAACTGTGAGTTAGTTGAGCCGCAGATCTATGTGGCATTCAGTGACAGTTGCCTCACAGTCAATATCTGCAACTGTTGTCGGCTTCGGGGCCGATGCTCCCGTTCCCCTGAGGCAGAGCAAAGCAGACCTAAGGAGAGAGAAGGACAGTCGACATCTCATCCAGGCTTTAACATAACTTCTGGGCTGCTGCTTCTGTTCGGATAGCACCTCCGCGAGTCTGGCATAGAAGCATCTTGCACTTGGTCCCATCCCACCAGAGGTTTTGAATATCAGAGGAGTGAAGCTGCCTCGATCAACGTTCTGAATTCTCTCACCATATGCCCTTATCTTGTTGTTCTCGTTCCTCCTGTGTGCAGCATCGAGAGCTAAGTTACGGTGACATGCGGCCATGGGATAAAAAATTCTGATGTCGAAGAAGGCTCGCTGTCCTCGCGTCCAGAATCCTCGAGCACTGACGTCAACATGGGCTTCGTTGGATGTGTTTGAAGTCCTATGTTGGAAATTCTGACCGTCCAATGGAAGGAGGGTCGGTTCTACCCTGACATCACGACAGATTTCCTTCAACATATTTTCTGTGAGATCCCTTACTTCGTTATGCCTCATGCATATGAAGCCCCCTTTCTTGCACACCATGGCGTGATCGACGTCATAGGAAGATCCACACAGGCATTGGGAGGGCAAACCTTCTACTGGCCTACTGTACCATAGAGCAATGGCATCTGTAAATTCTTGTTTATTGAGACTGAAACCATTTGCCCTTATCGGTAACGCAGTTAACCAGTTCGAGGCGCCCACCTCCTGCGCTATAGCTACTTTTTTTTTTAATTCTCTGGTACTTGCAGCATCAGTTGCTGCAACTTATCACTTTGGCTGTGCTGTCGTTCTGTCGTAATGGACCTTCGAATCTTGTTTACTTCACTGGTATCCACCTCACCTGTTGCGTTCTGAGCTTTTATGTGGTCAGTGAGGGCTGCCGTGAGCTTAACTGAGTTTTGATGTTGGGTGGCAGCAATCTCCTCTTGATAGGTCAAGCCCATTCCTCCCGGTCTCGGTGGTAGTGCAAGGAGTGATCTTTCTGCTGGGGTTAAGTGAAGGTGTTTCACTAATTTGGGAATGAAATTGACGCTGATAGCTTCTTCCAGAGGGTGGAGGAGGGGTCTGATGTCAGGGATAGTGTGCATCAGGTAGTTCCAGCGATGCTTGACTCCATGGGTGAATGCCGCAAAAGCCGCATGTGGCTCTGTGTTAGCAATATCAGACAGAGCTTGGATTTCCCTAACCCACTCATTCACCTTTCCCGTTACGTACCTGGTCTTGAAGTCCGTCGTGCCGATTACTGCGCCTAGGTGTCTTTGGCCATCCTTTGTTATTTTGACCTCACTTCCACCGAACACCTCCATTGCCCGTTCATAATGTTCTGGCTTCACAATGAGCAAGGAATTGCTGGCGTTTGGGTGGTACCCTATTTGTGGACTTCGTGATGTTACCAGGTCCCACCACTTTTTGATGTCCTCCACTTTTCCTGCTCCTATAAGGTCATCAGCGTACGCCACTTGCTTGACCTGGGTTGTTTCAAATTTTATTGTGTGTTGGAGCACGGATAGGCCGATTGCGTACATTGCCATTGCAACAGGGTCCCCCTGTGTTGTTCCCTCAGTTGACTGTATGATGGTATCACCTCTTAGAGCCTTGTTGTTTACTATATAGAGGTCTGATGGATTCCTATAGGTGTTTTCAACATACATTGCAAAGCTTGGACACTTGATCTTGATGTTGTGCAGTGCGGCCTTGCGGTTAAGTATGTTGAATGCGTTTGAAGCGTCCACCAGGAGAACGGCCTCACAATCACGCTGCTCAAATATTGTTCTCATGGCGTGAATAGCAGCTTCCCCTCCAGCCTGGTGGCCAGCACAAACTTGTAGGTTCCCTGCTGCTGCCCTGACATCATCCTTTACCACCTCCATTATGCATTATCCGATGATACGCCTCAGCACTTCCCCCATACATTTTTTTTATACTTTAAAATACCGTTTAATGCTAGTAAGACATACTGTCGAGTATTATTGGGGTAATAGCTGTCTGTACAACCTTTTTTTACAATGCTTTATACAGTATTTAGGATTGACAAGAGTAATGTTGGACTTACGAACAAATGGACTTAGGAACAGATCTCAGGAACCTAACCAGTTCGTAAGTAGGGGAGCCCCTGTACTATACCAAACAAAGTTTAGCATTGGACAATTTTTTTGGATTCGTTGTACATTATACCTAAAACCTCCCTATACTAAATTGGCTGCTCACCAATTATTTTGGAATAGAGAGGTAACACTTCTTTTTTTTTTTTTTTTTACAATAAAGTATGCAGATTGAATAAACTGATAAACTTTTATAATATATAGGTTGAATATAACTAATTCATTTTTGTAATACAATACTGTATACAAGTTGAGTATAACTAACTCATTTTTATAATACTGTATACAGGTTGAATATACAGTAATGAATTAAATTTTTATGATACACAGGTTGAATGTGATTTAACATTTGTGGGGCTGTTGATACTACAGAACATGTTGAAGCCAGAGACAAAACCAGTCATATGTCAGCTACAGAAGGCCAATATAAGGACAGTTATGGTCACAGGTTAGTCCAATACCATAAATATTTATTGATGTGGGTTCTGCTGAGTTGATGTTGTGGACTGTGATGTGGGTATGTGTATTGTTGTGCACTGTGATGTGAAAATGTGTGTTGTTGTGGACTGTGATGTGGAAATGAGTATTGATGTGAACTGTGAGAGGGTATAATTTTATTGCTTTTGTCTCCTTTCACTGTGTGCTGATACATAACCTGCTGCCCCTATATATACAGTATGTGTGTATATATATATATATATATATATATATATATATATATATATATATATATATATATATATATATATATATATATATATATATATATATATATATATATATATATATATATGTATATATACACACACATACTGTATATATACACACACACACACACACACACACACACACACATACACACGCACGCACGCAATCACGCACGCACGCATGCACACACACACTCTGACTGATGCAGTTCAGCATATACGTAGACAATGCAGGTAATCAGTGTACCATACGTAGGTTTTGCAGATATACAATTTCCAGTGTACCTAGATAATGCAGGTATAAAACATTGGTAAACAGTAAAGCAGTTTGACTAAGTATAACTGACAAATGCTTCAGACATTATCCTTGAGGCATGTGATATTACCTCTTACAGTTTCCCATTACAGTATTATTATTACATCCTATATACAGGAATTTTATTTCTTATTTTCAACTGCAGCATGTTTGAAGAAGTTTCTCCAAGCATTACATTCCTAAGTTATGTCCACATTTGAAGACTTTTATGATAGATAACATGAAAATTTTAAGAGGCCTGATTTGCATGTATGTCAGTAATAATAACAAAGCTTCAGACCCTCAAAAATGTTTTGGTTTTACAGGAGACAATATTCTAACAGCCATCAGTGTAGCCAGAGACTGTTGCATGGTGGGTGTCACTGACCACGTCTATGAGGCCAAAGTAACACCACCAACTTGTGACCATCCATCATCACTCACTTTTGAGCCAGCTGACTCCCCTGACATGATAGTTCACCCAGCTGCTCAGGATGTGGTTAGTGTTCTGTATTTTTAACTGGACTATTCTTTATCAGTGAATTTAATTCCATGTTGTAGCATACACAAGTGTAACCCATGAAGAACCCCTTGCTTATCACCACAGCTACTTAGTATCATTAAATGCCTGTCCATATGAATACTGTATATACTCTTCCATAGAAAATGCTGAAGCTTTGAATAGCTCATATATACAGGGTGTCTTTATTATATGATGGGGATGTGTTCCAGAGAAAAGCAACTTATCGTGAAATATTTTATAATGAAGAATTTTTCCCTTTAAGGATTAATGTAATTAGGGGTTTCTGTCTTCCAACATGTACTGTTAACAAAAAAGCATTCTGTACCTTTATGGTGTTATACTGGATCAAGAAGTCTGACACTTATGATTTATGGCATTGTTGGTGGCACTGCCTTCCAGAGTTGCCAGTTACTCTTTATCTTGTGTGACTGTTTTTGTTTCAGTTAAGAGAATTCTAAAAAAATTTGGTTACTGATAGGGGAAGAAATGTCTAAATACTGTACTTGCATTAGACTTGGATAAATTATGATTAACCCTTAGACTGCTTTAGGTGGCTGCTCCACAGACTACTCCAGGCCACCTGGGTGGTCCTAGGTTTTGCAGTATTGTTTGAATGGGATCACCATGCTTGAGCAGGAAGCCTGTCATAAGACATGTCACTGATACAGTTGCCATGCAGTAGGAAGTCTTAGTTACCCATTGGACACCACATGGGAAGAATGGTAAAATTTTCTTTTATATGTGGAGTGTGGCAACGAGTGCTGAGGCCCCTTCCACCCATCTTTGTTGCACAACAAAGTGCAATAAATATTTCCCAGTGCTTATCAGTATATTTCTATGTGTTTATAAGTGCTTCTTTCATTTCTATGTGCTTCTGAGTTCTATTTTGTGAATAATAGGCATTATTGTGGCGTGTAAAGTAAATCTCCATTTTTCTCCACAATTGCCACTAAAATCGCCACTTGGCATCCGTTATCACTGTCTATCTATTTACTTGAACCAAAATATTCATTTTTGACCAGGCTACAACCTAAAAAAATCAGAATTTTCCTTAGAACTAATTTAATTTACAGGTAATTATTTGGGCATTGCCAGAAAAAAAGTAAGGAGCAATATTAGGGGGAAAAAGGGACATACATGTATATAGTTAAATACTGCAGTGAGAAAGGGAATAACTCAAAAACAGCAATCATTAAAGAATGTTGTGGTGTTGATGATCTTGAGGGTGTCTTTCTTCCCAGAACACACAATGTATTTTATTAAAGAATCAATTTTATGTTGCCTCTGCTCTTTTTTCTTTAATATCTTTTACTTACTGATCCAACTGTTACTCTTTCTGCACATTTTGTATTTAGTGAGCAGTTGGTGGTTGGTTAGGTATTTGATAACCAAACTAAACTTTCCTCTTGGTAACCTTGCTCGACATCTGTGAACTTGAGGTGAAATAATTGTCTTTATCACCTTATTTATGAGTCTAGTTTAGAAAGAGTAAATAAGGTTAGGATAGGTTAGCATTAGGTTAAGTTAAATTTGGTTAGGTTAAGATAAATTAGCAGTAGGTCAGGTTAGGTTGGGTTGGAGTTGGGCTGGAGTTAGTATTAGCTTAGGCTATGCAGACCTAATTTTAGCAAAGTAGTTGACTGATTGTCCTCATTCATCCTTATTCTCTTCAACTCTTGCCACTCTCGTACTCAAGGAAACACAGATATATGAATGAAAGTCAATAGGAGCATGAAGCATGCATTAGGGAAGCAGGCAAGAGTAAAGGTCGGAGGTAGAAAAAGCTCAAAGCATCCCTGAATGAAACTAAGATTCTATAGTTGAGAAACGTGTTATAGTGTTATTCATCTCTATTGGCAGCTCAACATGACTATTCCTCCACCTTTGATATCAGTCTTCAATATTCATTTTTTTATTCCCTTTAATGAATAATCTTTTCATGTATTTTACCCATATTTAATGAATTATTATCTTATGCATAAACTTGGTTTTTCTTTTATATCAGAGTATAATGTCCATTAACATGGATAGCATCAGTCCAAAGTACCATTTTGCTGTCACTGGCAAAGCCTGGGCTTTGATATGTCAGCACTTCCCAGACCTGGTACCAAGAATCATCGCACGAGGGACAGTGTTTGCCCGGATGTCACCTGACCAAAAAGCTCAGCTTGTTGAGGAATTACAAGCCATTAACTACATAGTGGCCATGTGTGGTGATGGTGCAAATGACTGTGGGGTAAGTCTCTTGGAATTTTTTCTTTTATTTGTTGGTTATTGTAAAGATCAATGAAATGGCATCTGAAATTTATGAATTAACTTATTATCTGTTCTTAATTAAAGACTTTAAATTGTTAGAGATATATCCTGGAGGATCAACCTAAATTAAGAGTTAGGTAACTGATTTTATATCGAACCTTTTCTCTCAAGTCATTTTTTCTCTTGAAGTTATTTATGAACAAGATATATTACCCCAAATTTGAGCCTTTCATGATAACTTATGAATTGCTATATTGGATTTGGCTTTATTTTATTAATTTCATCAGTGTACAATAACTGTCTTGCAGGCACTGAAAGCTGCTCATGTAGGCATATCATTGTCGGAGGCTGAAGCAAGCGTGGCTGCCCCCTTCACCTCCCACACCAACAACATTGAGTGTGTGCCTCAGGTTATATGTGAGGGTCGATGTGCTCTCACTACCAACTTCTCAGTCTTCAAGTACATGGCTCTCTACAGTATCATCCAGTTTGTCTCTGTTCTTATCCTGTACTCGGTAAGTTGCGCTTCTTTATTAGTAATACAGTAGTTTGTTATGGGGAGGATTATGCAGTCCAGCTCCAGAGAACTTTATTCTCCTCTGAGGCCCTGTTATTACCTTCTTGTGTGTTAATAACCTGTACTTTTAAGCATGAAAATGTAGATACTTTTTATATTGGTGGTGGTTCCTTTGGACTTGGGAGTGAGATGATGTAGTTGGATACTTAACCCCTTGTGTACGGGGGTCTCTGTATGTTGAATAAAGTCGTCTGGTGTTAGCCAAATAAAATATTAAAAGTGAATTCCCTGTAGTGCGGGGGTTTATACAACTGGTGATTAAGGACAAGCATCTCATCCTGTAAATTTAAATTTTCTTGACAATACACCTAATAAATTTAAACAAACACCATTATTATATAAGTATCCCTCACTTAACGAATGGATTAAGCTCCTGGAAAACCATTTGTTAGGTGAATTTTCCTATCTCAAATAACAGAAAAAATGGGAAAAATAGGGTTCGGCCTTCCAACGACAAGAAAACCCCAATATTCTAACCCAAAAATATGAAATTTTTTCACGAAAAACAAAAAACTTACCTAACTATTGAAAAATAATACCCAAATGCTGTGACTTACTACCTAATACATACAAAAATATTAATAAAATACAATACAGATGAAAATATGCAGCTAAATCTAATAAGGAAAAGCTAAATGAAAATTTAACACAACTACCATTTACCTAAGACGTTCACCATAGCAACGCAGCCCGGCTAGGACGTTGCCTCTGCCAACCTTTAGCAATGGGGCTCCCACACTCTGTTCCCCCTTCCTGCTCCCTGCTCAATTTGCTAACTCATCACAAAGAAATGTTTATTCCTTTTATGTTTTTAACCTTATGGTAGTTATTTCTTTTACTTTTTTTTATACCCATTCTGTATGTAGGATTATGTGTGCGTGTAACCGAGTGAAAATATATGAAGAAAGTTAAGTTTATCCCCAAATTGCAAATTGAAAAATAACCATAACATATCTTACAGCTAATGAGAGGGCTTAAGGGGGATGTGACTACAGTGATGAGTCTAACTTGGCAACAATGCCACCAATGATGTTAAGTGTAACATTTAAATAAGCACACCACCACCTTCAGCTGTGAATTCAAACAAACGAATTAAATGACGGGAGTGATTACCTTAAGGGAAGGCAGTCAAGGCGCATCACAAGGGTTGGGGAATGGCGGAACAAAAGATGCAGGCTGGGGGGAGATGCTGGAGGGAGGAGGGATTTGTCATGATCATTGAGGGAGAATGCATCTCTGCTCATCTTTCCAAGATGGCTGCAGCAGCTGACTCCCAGGGATACACAATTTAAATTTTTGCTTGATCCATACTTTATATAAACGACGGTAGCTTTCGTTAAATAAGAAAAGCGTTAAATTAGGAAATTCGAATGAGCGAAATTTTGATTCGCCTATATTTGTAAAGCAAGGGATACCTGTACATTATGTAACGTTTATTTTTAACAACTATTTGTTGAAGGTATTTGTTCCTAAGCTCCAGTGTATCATTTAGTCCTTCGTAGGAAAAATAATGAACATTTAGTTTAACTCTTAACCAACGGCTAAGGTTTACCTACTCTGCCCTCATATGTGCAAAAATGGAATACAAGAAACATGAAATATTCACTGATGACAGCTGCAGTTTAAGAGTTAAGAAATCCTTTAAGAGAATGTTGTTTTGTGTTTTGCTGTTTTCATGTAACTTAGGATGAACTTGATAATGCTTGACTATGCTATACAGTAGTAATAATTCTGTACAACACCTGACTGTGTATGTGTTTGCAGGCTTACACCAATCTCTCCGACCCTCAGTTCCTCTATATTGATCTCTTCATTGTAACTGTGATAGCAATCTTCATGGGTTACACTGGACCCAATCTGTAAGTATACTGTACTGTTGTAATATTTTCATCTATTTCAAAAATTTTCTCCTTAACATTAGTGCAGACTGTAAATTATTATTCTAGTGCAAGAGCTTACAGTAGTATCCATCCTGTTTAGTACTGAAAAGGTATAGTCCTACTTTTATTTTCCAAAGGCTCTTTTATATAATTTTCTCTTCTTCCTATGCCCTACTGTACTTCATCTTTGCCTCCTTATGGTGTTGGGAATGGAACTTGGTTGATAAATAGATAAAATAAGTTGATGGATTTGAGTACTTTAGTTATATAGTTACTGCAGTTAAGAGAATTGAGGTGGATTTATGTCAGAAAACTTGGATCACCTGAAGATTAGGCACCCCAGCTTACTTCACCTTTTGATTAAACACCCTAAAGCTATCTTGAGGGATTAGGTCAGGTTAGGTTAGCATTAGGGTATTTAATCATTAGGTCAAATAAGCAGGAATTCCCATTCTTCATGTGATCCAAGAATATTTATTCCTCTGGTCTCTAGTTTTTCCACAATTACATTTAATTACTCCAGTTTTAATGGTTTAATTCTATACAGCCTTGAAATCAGACTTATTTCTTGTCAGCCATGTTTTCTTGTTTTATATTTTACTTACAAATGACAGTCTCTTGTAAGATTGCCTAAGGTCTATCATTAGATACGTTTAGACCATGTTTCATAGTAATCAAAACTGTTCAGAGTCTATTTCTATCCTCACTTTAACTGCATTTACAATCCTATGTGTTTTGAGATCCCTAACCACCACCGATTGTAAGTACAGTAATAGTAAACAAGAATATATCAGTCCACAAAATTGACCACTTTCTCCCTAGTTGTGTCAAAACAATATACTCCTCTCATTGGATCAAACATAGATTAAATCAGAAATATTGTATCAAGTTTTCCAGTGACAGCCAGTGTGAGCTTCCTGTAGAAGCTGAAGAGATGAAGGGATGTGAATACCTGTAGTTTGATTCTTTGTTTTAGCCAAGGACGTGGTATACGTACTGTACCTGGGTGTACAGTGAACCCTCACTTTACGCGATCAATTGAACCCACGGCGGCCCGCGTAAAGTGAGAAACGCGTAAAGTGAACAACATAACATATGGGATTAATTGAAATAGAGAGCGGGCCGACCCCCAAACTCCACTTTTTCAGACACAATATCTACGTTGTAGTAAAAATAACTTCTTAATTTTATGATGGTATGCACACACAATTAATAATTTAGAGAAATATCAATAATATTAGGTTTTTTAACACTTACATTAGTAGAAAAGATGGCTGGGCACACGGGGATGGGGGGTTGGTTCCGAGGCAGAGGGCAGATTATTGGCCCTCACCTGTATCACTTGTATCAATTGTATCACTTTCCACCACAGGACCTCTTTGTCAAACCCCTCAAAGTCCATATAAGTCCATATCTTCACTATCATTATCACTATCACTGACTTGGGCCGGCTGTGGTGGGTGGCGGGTGAAGAACTCGGTAATGTTTTGATGACTGGGCGACCTTGTGCGCACCCTGCTTGCGCCGCTCTCCGCGTAAAAGGGTACACACACCGCGGAAAGTGAGCATTCCGTGTTCAGCAGGGTACCGCGTAAACGTGGAAACGCGTAAAGTGGGACCGCGTAAAGCGAGGGTTGACTGTATATCATTTTGGATCCCATTTTGTCTTGGGAGTGCAGCTTTCTATTTGAACTAATTTAGTTTCCAAATATCACTCTATTCTTATGATCTGCTCAATTTACATTTTTTATGTATCTTACACCAACAGCCAAACATTATATCGTGTTTTTATTGAACAAAGGTCTTCATCCTCAATACAGGTACACTTAGTTGTGGCAATATTTGGTATATGAAATGTATGCAGAGGGTTATATGCTTCAGATATGGGGAACACTACAGTACAGTATAGAGATTATAGATTGATCAGTATTTTATGTTTACAGGTCAGAATTTTGCACAGTGTTTTGAAATAGTACAGGATGATCATTCATGTTAAAGACAAGGCATTACTCCTCTTAGGAGAGTCACATTAGGATGACATGACAGCGTATTTTGTTGCTTCCAGTGAGCTCGTGGCAGTAAAACCACTCGGCAACCTGCTTGGGGCTGTCAACATGTTTTCCATCCTGTCCCAGATCTTCCTTGTCATCCTTTTCCAAGTCATCGCTTATTTTTATCTTTTGCAACAGTCCTGGTATGTTTGAAGCATGTATTTGTGCAAGAAGCTAATGTTTGGTAAATTGTACAGTATAGTGGTCCCTCGGTTAACGAACACAATTCGTTCCGCAGAGTCTTTTGTTAACCAAAAATTTTGTTAACCGAATCCATTGTTTCAATGGGATATTGAGGAATTGGTTCCAGCTGACAGAAAAGTACTACAAAGTAAAAAAAAATGCAGTAAAGTACACTTATTTTGAGGTGTGTATGTAGAAGGTTCCTGGTTGATGATGATGGGAATTAGAAGTAGGGGTGGAGGAGAAGGGAGAAGAGAAAGATGTGGGGATGGAGGAGAAATCACCTTTCGGGGACCCATGCTTGATGCAGTAATTTCACCAATAAAATTTTAAGTTCACTTAGTGTAATTCAAGATCATTTTATTTAAATCAACACTGCACTGCACTACAGGTTGACAATCCCTTATCCTAAATCCTTGGGACTAGATGCATTTCTGTTTTTGGAATTTTTCTGTTTTCAGAATGGTTAGGTTTTTTTTTTTTTTTTTACAGGATCAGCCCACCCGGGCACAGGTCATGACCCACATTAGCCTGGGGGCTAAAAAAAAAAAAAATAATAATATAATATAATAATAATAATAATAATAATAATAATAATAATTCATAGGTCTAGGTCGTGTTTCTCACTTTTGATCTTTTTTTCATTCTTGTATTTTTTATTATTATTATTATTATTATTATTATTATTATTATTATTATTATTATTATTATTTTATTATTACAGTATTATTATTGTTATCATTCTTATTCTATTTTTGTGTATTTTTTATTAAAAATTTTATTTACTATGAATAATTATTATTACTGTATTATTATTATTATTATTATTATTATTATTATTATTACAGTATTATTATTATTATTATTATTATTATTATTATTATTATTATTATTATTATTATTATTATTATTATTACTATTACATTTTCACCCCCAGGCCCTGATGTGGGTCAGTGACCTGTGCCCGGCTGGTAAAAAAAAAAAAAAAAAAATTGCTCCACAAAAAAACCTTCGGTTTTCAGAGCTTTTCGGTTTTTGGAATTTCGGATAAAGGGTTGTCAACCTGTATATATAATGAATATGTTAACTAAATTTCAGAATGACCAATAATTTTAATGTAAAAATGCAAAAATATTCAAGACACCAACAAAATCGATGTTCTTTCCACTATAAACAAAGCCAAACTGACGCCTGGCAGGTGAGTCAAGCGGCTGATGGGCGCACAAAAAATTAGTTCCCTGTAGTGCATATATTATCAATATGTTAACTAAATTTTAAAATGATTAATAATTTCAATATAAAAAATGCAAAAATATTAAAGAGCACAACTGTCTTGATATTTACTCCCCAGGAAACGAATGTAAACATAGAACAGATTACTGAATTGGCAGACTAGCCCATCAGCTGATGCTCACAATAAAACTTGTTTGTCGTAAGGATTTCGTTAATCAAAATTTTGTTCGTTAACCGAATTGAAGATCCTTATGGGAGGTAATTCGTTAACCAAAATTTCTTTAATCGAACCTTTCGTTAACCAAGGGACCACTGTATTATATTAACATCAATCTTTTTTGTATTTACCTCATATAATCCAGTGGCATTTAGGAATTACAGTACAGATAGTTCTGCTATAACGCGATAATTGTGTTCTTGTAAAATATCGTGTTATAGAAAATCGCGTAATAGAAATAACAGGGCTTATGGAGAAAATAGGGTTAGGTGCAGATTACTCGAAATCGAAAAAATTTAGTAGTTAGCCTTACACAAAGGATAGCACAGTCTAAATAAATGTTACATTCATATCTAATAATGAAATCATACAGTAAATGTAACACTTTACCTTGAAAAAATATGAATGTAACTTGATGGGGGAGAAGGGTGATTTTGAGGTTGATAACATCGAGCTTCTCTTCAAGTGTTATATCCTTTCTTTTACGATCATCACCGGGAATTCTATTACCAGAATGCTTCTTGGAGATATTCTTCTTTACCATATTCACAGTTAATACCACAAAATTGGAGAAATAGTAAGCAAAAATCGCATTATAGCAAACAAGCGTTCGCGTTATACAAATATCGTTCCTAATTCATAAGTCGCGTTAGAGCAAATTCGCGTTATCAAAACACGCGTTATAGCAGAACTCACTGTACTGTATATTGTTAGTCACATTCTTGAATTAATTAATATAAAATTAGAACGTACAGGTTGTACCTCTCTAGTCCGGCAACCTCGGGACCTGACCGGTGCCGGACCATGGAAATTCATGCTTTTCCTGGATAGATAGTGACTTGTGCTCATGCTTGGAAGCACTAGCACCACTTTCTCTGCATCATGGTCTCTTTGAAGACATATTGAAGGGTTAAATGTCGTATAGTAGCTTCTCAAATTTCGCGAGTTTTTAATTCTTAACATATTTTATTGGAACACACAAAAAAATAAATAAATAAAAATTTTGACGGCGGAAACTTAAATTTCGACGGGTTTGAACAGCCCGCCAACGTGCAGACGACGGGCATAATCGTGTAAACAGCGTCATTTCTCTTATGTACAAAAGATTCATTAGTGTTTATTACTGAATGTCTTTTTTATTGAATTAATGTTTATGTGTGCAAAATGAGCAATACAATTCATTAATAATACGTAGAATATTAAAACACACGAGGAAATGACACAGCATTGTTTTCGTTGATTACAAAACCAGTGACTGACTGGTTCTACATATAAAACTGAAGAAAATAAGACCTTGGCTGTAGCTGTAGTAAAATTAATATGGTTGTTTTAAGTAATGTTATTTAATGTTAATAAATGGAAATAAATGGAACAATAGAAGTAGCTAACGATAATGGTAAAGAAAAAAGAGAGATCGCGTATGTAAGTGCGCATGCGCACACGTGAAAGCATATCGTCATTACTTTACATAAGAATATGAAAGCAACACTTATTTACTGTTCATATATATTTTAATTAATGTTTCTGAATTTCTTTTTATTGAATAAATGTTTATGTGTGCAAAATTAACAATACAATTTATTAATAATACGTGGATTATTAGAGGAGACGAGACGGCTGCCGGCATTGTTTATGTTAAAGCTTACAAAACCAGTGACTGATTGGTTCTACATATAAAACTGAAGAATATAAGACCCTGATTTTAGCTGTAGTAAAATTAATGTAAAAAAATTAATATGGTTGTTTGAAGTACCTGTAATGTTATTTAATGTTAATAAATGGAACAATATAAGTAGCTAACCATTAATGGTAAAAAAAAAAAGTGAGACTGCGCGTATGTAAGTGTGCACATGTGAAAACATATCGTCATTACTCTACATAAGAATATGAAAGCAACACTTATTTACTGCTCATATATATTGAAGGGTTAAATGTTGTACTCTGTATAGAAAAGCAGAGAGAGAGAGCAGCCGAACTGCCGGATGTAAACAAACCTTAATTTCCCGCGGCTTTTTTTTTTTAAGGGGATTAGCCCACCCGGGCATAAGTCACTGACCCACATTGGGGCCTGAGGGGCAAAAATTTAATACTCCTGTAATAATAATAATAATTCAGATAAAAAAAAAAAAAAAAGCTGCCTATCTACCTATTGGACAAACTAAAATCGTTCCGGACCACGGGAGTTTCCGGACCACAGAATGCCGGACTAGAGAGGTACAACCTGTAGTATATAGTATTGTGAAAAGCTTTGCATTAATTTGAAAGTTTGAGTAAAATAATTTTCAATTTCTTGCAGTAATATATGCAGAGTTTAATTTTTATTTATTTGTTTATTTATTTATTTATGTATTTATATATTTATTTGTTTATTTATTTATTTATTTATTTATTTATTTATTTTTATCCCCTGCATGCTTATTTTTTTATTAATTTAGCTTTAGATGTTACTTGTAGTTCTAGATCGTCTTATCCTGACTCCCAGACACTGTAGTCATGTTAGTAATGGGATAAGGGAATTATCTACTCTGCAGTGATCCCTCCACCTGCACGAGGATATGAGGAATATAAATGTTATTTCAGGTGCAATTTGTGGAGGTTGTAGTTAATAACTCCATTATAAATTGCGGTGTGAGTAATTGACACTTGGAATCCCTTAATTTTGATCATAAAAATTAACATAAACATGGTAAAACATTAAAATAAATGTTATATATAAATACAGTACCATAAATGTACTGTACTATACACTTGAGTATACAGTAGTGTGATTTTTTTAATAATTTTTTTTGCAAAAAGTAAGTAGTTGAACTACTGTATATACACATAGTATTTTTGAGGGATTAAAATTCATGCAACGCCAGATAAATTATTACGCTGCATTATATTTCTGGTGCTTGTTTACAAATCTGACCAGCAGACCCTCCTCTGTGTAGTGTTGCCAATGCTCTACTTCTCTTTTGCATCTCTGCTGTCAGCAATTGTCTTCAACACTTGGTAAATAATATTGTAGTGTGTGTATTTATCGGCACTTAAATAATACGTATTGTAGTGTATTTATACATTAATTAGTTGTCTAAGTATAACAAGTAACCGTATCGAGCAATCGTATGTCACTCAAAGGTAACAAATAATGTTGTTAGGAATGTATCTCCATATAATGACATTGTAAGCTGATTTGCTGTACATGTTGGAATGCATATAACCCTAATTACAGTGACCCCTCCGTTAACGAACTCAATCCGTTCCAGAAGGTCGTTCGTTAACCGAAAAGTTCGTTAACCGAAACCATTGTTTCAATGGGTTTTTGGGTAATTGGTTCCAGCTCACCGAAAATTTCCTAAATTCAACAAAAATGGTAGAAAAGTTCACTTACTTTGAGGTGTGTATGTAGAAGGCTCCTGGATGATGATGATGATGATGATGGGATTTAGATTGGGGATGGAGAAGGAAGAAGAGAAGGCATTGGGGCGGAAGAGAAGTCACCCCATGGCGCCATTTCACCCATAAAATTTTAGCTCTCTGGTGTAATTCAAGATTATTTTCTTTAAATCAACACTGCACTACATTATATATTGTCAATATGTAAAATATATTTCAAAATGACCAATAATTTGCTTGGAAACACAGAAAAAAAGCGTTTAGTTGAAGAGAGTCTCAAGCAAGATGTTACCTCCAGTGAAAACAGAGAGAGACTAACTCCTATTTGCTGTGTTAAGAGGCTGGATGCCGCGCATTAAACTAGTAACTTTACCTTCAATTATGTTCAGTAATTGTTAAAATGACTAAAAAATTGAATATTAAACTTTTAAAATTATTGAATAGTATAAACTTCTTGATATTTACTAAAATAGTAAGGAATTTAAGCCCTAGAACCGTAAGGAATTTAAGCCCTAGAACCGATTAATGTATTGGCGGACTGATACTAAAGCTGGTTGCCCGGTCAGTGCAAGCGAAAACATGTTGAGGTCGGTTCGTAAGAACTTCGTTAACCGAATTTTTTTTCGTTAACCGAATTGAAGATCATTATGGAAGGCAGTTCGTTAATCGAAATTACGTTAACCGAGGTGTTCGTTAAACGAGGGGTCACTGTACATTGATTCTTATGGGGAAAAATTTGTCATTATGAAATACATCTCTGACATATAATGAAGATCCCCTGTAGTAGCCAATCACAGCATGAGCCTATGATCTAAGTTCCCCATGCAGCTAGCTCACTCATGCATTGGGGCATGATTCAATTACTCAGAAATTCCGGGTAATGGAGAAAGTAATGTACCACATGCATGCCAGGTACTGCCAAGTGTCCAGGGAATTTTGTCTACAACTGTACATATGAAATACCAGTTTTGGCCATTGTCAAGATAGGGATGGATCTTACCTTTAGTCAAATGGTAGAATACAGTAGAACATCGATTTAAAGCGACACCCACAATTAAGGACAATGTTTTAAATTCAAGCGAATCTTTCCTACTTTGCGCGAGTCAGTCTGGCGCATCATATTTAAAATTTTGCGCCTAATGTTTCTCTGGACACGCTACACTGTCCTAAGGACAAAGCTGTTCTGTACTGTACATGTACTAAATGATTACTAAAATTTTTGTCTAGTGCAAATTATAGCATGATTATATTCAAATTAATTACTATCTTATAAGAATTCCAACAATGTAAATTATATTCACCCCGATCACTTCTGTGACATTTTATAAACAAAAACTCAATCTAAAGAACATAAATAAACAAATAAATACTTCACTAGACCTTCGGCGCAACTGTCAAACATGTCACTGTCACTTCCAGCCCCTCCCTCCCTCCCTCCCAACAAGGGTTTGGTGGTTATAGGCTTCAAGTTTTTATCTTATATAATATCACAGACTAAAGTTAGGAGAATATAATTTGCATTGCCGGAATCCTTGCAAGACAGCGAATAATTTGAATATAAACGTCATATATTTTGCACAAGAGATAAAAATTTTAGCCCTTTGTAATAAAATTAATTAGAACTAAAATTTGTACAGGTAGTTCTGCTATAACGCGATAATTGTGTTCTTGTAAAATATCGTGTTATAGAAAATCGCGTAATAGAAATAACAGGGCTTATGGAGAAAATAGGGTTAGGTGCAGTTTACTCGAAATCGAAAAAATTTAGTAGTTAGCCTAACACAAAGGATAGCACAGTCTAAATAAATGTTACATTCATATCTAATAATGAAATCATACAGTAAATTTAACACTTTACCTTGAAAAAATATGAATGTAACTTGATGGGGGAGAAGGGTGATTTTGAGGTTGATAACATCAAGCTTCTCTTCAAGTGTTATATCCTTTCTTTTACGATAATCACCGGGAATTCTATCATCAGAATGCTTTTTGGAGATATTCTTCTTTACCATATTCACAGTTAATACCACAAAATTGGAGAAATAGTAAGCAAAAATCGCGTTATAGCAAACAAGCGATCGCGTTATACAAATATTGTTCCGAATTCATAAATCGCGTTAGAGCAAATTCGCGTTATCAAAACACGCGTAATAGCAGAACTCACTGTATGTCTAATGCGAACTATAGCATGTATATATGAAAACTAATCACTATCTTATAAGAATTCCAGCAATGTTAATTATATTCTCCCATGTCAGTTCAGTGACATTATATAAGAGAAAAACTTAGTTACTCTTAAGGACAGATAAATAAATAAGCACTAGACCTTGGCATCAACTATCAAACATATCACCTCTCCCCTCAGCTGATCGCTAGTAAACAGACAATTTCACGTCCCATAATTTTAGCTGTGTTGATTTATGATTGTTTGTTTTAATATAATACTACAAAAAACAATGTTTTGTTTATTCTAGGAGATGGGCTGAGGTGCATCTTGGTAGACTCAGTCTTTTTAGTATTTTGTGTTTCTCTCAAGTACCAAGCTAAATTATTCCATTGAAATACACTTCGATTTAGTGTGAATTCGGCTTAAAGCGACCTCTCTAGGAACATATCTCGTATTATATCGACGTTCTACTGTACAAGCTTGTGTTATCTGCAGGATTTTCTAAGCAAATGTGTACATAGTTGTCTGTGATAATTTCCAGCAGTTCACAGTACCGTACAGTATGCAGATTGTTGATATTGAAATTGTTCTGAAAATTTGTAATACTGTACCTGGACAATTTTCCCCAAATGTACAAAAATTAATATTCTAAGAAAAATGTAGAAAGATTATGATACTGTAATCCATATGGAAATGACAAATATAAGTTTGAGAAACTTGTAATTTGCTCCTGTTGACAGTTTAATCCAAAATGGACATATATTTCCCTTTAATGAATACCGTAGTATATTAAAATGAAATGGTTTTAATGGAACGATTTTCCGAGAAACTTTCAGTTCCGCCTATCAGAGTGGTCCGGGTTTGAGGGATTTTGACTAATGAAGATATTACTATTATATTTTTGTCCCCCAGTCCCTGATGTTGGTCAGTGATCCGTGCCTGGGTGGGCTAATGCCTATTAAATAATAAATAAATTAAACACATCATTGCATAGCTGAGTACAGTAATTTGTTGTGATAATGAGCGAGTACAGTATATTGATGACAGGTGTATTAGGGGAACTCACAGTTGACCCTGAGTATCTGAATATACTGGCTGAGTGAACCTCACCACCAAAGAATATTTTTATTCATTTTGGTATCCATATGGCTTACCAAATACCATGTGAACATCAGAATTTGATTTATAAAGCAAAAATGTATTCAGGATGAAAATAAACACTGACTGAATTTTATATATACAACAAAATATATAATTTTATGTGCATAATAATTAATATGTATAAGTTAAAAGGACATGAAGTGAAAGATTATTAAAATGATGTATACTGTAGTTCAGAGGAAAGTGGCAGGAAGGAGAGAGGAAAACCCAGGCTACAGTGATGTTTGGGGAGTTTGACACTGAGTAATTGTCTGGGGATGAAGATGCTGGTGATGCTGCAACAAACCAGATATATATGTTGGTGGGACTTATTATAGAAGAATACTATAACACTGAGCATCTTGTTTTAGCAGCAAAAATGAATGAAAAACAGTGTTTGAGGGGAACTGCAATTGTTTTTTAATCCAATCATGAATGAAGAGCACCAATTGCTCTTGAAAATGAATATTATGTATTAATGCAGGAAAATGCTTGAAAGAGTGAAAAAAGAGGATAGTTTTTAATTCAATTCACTAAATACTTTTACTTTGAACATTTGGTTAATCTATTTTTTTTTTCACAATGGAAGGTTTGTGCCTAACAAACCTACTGAGATTGGAGAGGTGGATAACGTAGTGAGCTGGGAGACAGCCACCATCTTCTATGTTTCAAGTTTCCAGTATCTGACACTCTGTATTACATACTCCCCTGGACGACCTTTTAGGAAACCACTTGTCACTAATGGTGAGTACACAAGAGAAATATATATTTTTTCTTTTTATTAAATTTCACCTCTGACTCTGAAAAGTTTGGCCACATATGTTGTTGGCACAGAAGGCATTTGCTGAGGGAGTGTAGCTGCAGTGTGTCTGGCAAGGTAATTTAAAAATAAACACATCTGAGAGTTTCATTAGATGAAGCTATCCATCCATGGTGTGAACTTGAGGGGGGATTTCAAATCCTCCTTTAGATATTTTGATTAAAAGCTAAAACTTAGCAGATGGACAGAGTACCAGTCTGTCCAGGTCTAGGCCAAATGCTCAAAATTAAACTAACAAGATTACAATCACTCTTTGTAATAATTATAAAATTCATTAAGGACCTGCCATCCTCTCTGGAGTGAGTGATGACCTGGTGTTCCTATAAGATATATCCCCAGGGATTTTAACACAAATTAGGGCCCCTCATGTGAAAGATCATTGTTACTGCCTTATTATCTCACTTTCTTTCATTGCATTACCGGTACAGTACAGGGTATATAAATTTAATCTTTAATAGATAATGATTTATTTGGTCTTTACAGTTTGGCTGACAGTATCACTGTTAATACTGACAGTGACGACCCTATTGATGCTGCTGTGTCCGTGGTCATGGCTGATGACCTTAATGAAGATAAAGTACTCGTCAGATAAATACATGATGTTTAGGATTGCTCTTCTCCTCATTGTTGCTACACACTTTGTCGTCTCCATCAGCGCAGAGGTACAGTATAGCTTGTATGTACCAGTTGTCTGAAAAGTTATCTGTCCAATGAAAAATGCAGTAATCAGTACAGTACATATGTTGAGCTCAGAAACTGAAAAGTGACCACAACGCATTTTGGTTGTTTTCAAAATAACAAGAAAGCGAAATTTTGCATCATGGTTTTACCCCTAACCTAACCCAATCTAAACTAACCTAACCCAATTCAAACTAACCTAACTCAATCCAAACTAACTTAACCTAACCTATAGCAAAATCTCGCTTCTGGTTATTTTCCAAACAACCACAATGCGTTGTGGTCGCTTTTTGGTTTCTGAGCCCAACATATACAGTATCTAGTTGTGTTGTTAATAAAATGAATGATGTGAAGCACACCATGATGCCCAAACAATCATATTAAAATATCTGATTTTATTGTCATTGGGGTGGAAACTTTTCACACATATTGGCCTGTTGTGGAAACTAAGACAAGTAAAGATGGAAAATCAGAAATATTAATATACTCAGGCAGAATTCAGTTATTAATGTTTTCCCACCTTTATATCGCCAAAGTTATGGCTGTAGTTCTGCTGGAAATTTTTGTAGGAGCAAATCAAATGAAGATTAGCTCCCTGCTTATTTCACCTGATGATTAAACACCCTAGCATTACTGTGGGAAGGGTTAGATTAGGTTAGATTTTCTTGGCTTGGCTAGCATTAGGGTGGTTAATCTTCACATGAAATATGCTGGGGACTAGTCTTCATGTGATTCATAGTAGGTTATGATTTTTTAGTGAGAGTTTGAACAGAATCAACAAAAGAAACTGTGTAGAGGAAACACAAATAGTGGCGAGGAATACATATACGACTCTTGAATGTATCATTTTATATAATAGATTATTAAAAAATAATAATAATTTACAGAACTACTGAATGTACTGTATGAGGTACTGGAGGGGTAGGATTTTAGTCCAAAGTGTAATAACATAAAAGTTTCCAAATTTGAGGATACAGTGATTGGTTTCATTTAATTCCTTGAGAAGCTCAGTGATACTGTTTCATCTTACTTGTTAGGAAAATAAGAAATTTGAGAAAAAAGGCAGAACTTATAGTAGTTGATGAAAGATGGGTAAAATGTTTAACTTTATACAGTAGTAAAGAAGGAAGAAAACTCCTTATACGTCAGAGTGAGTGGGTTTGTCTAATAACTCCGTAAGACATAAGGAAGAAATGGTATCAAGAGATGTTGCTGATAATGTCTACATTTAAAGGAAGCAGATGGCATTGGAGATGTGTATTGAAGTACATTCACATAAACATTTATTATTGATTAATTATATTCATAGCTGTTACACAATTTTTCTCAGCGCTGTTAACATAGTTATTAATTTTCTTATCAACAGTATTTTCTAGCAAGTAGTCGCAGCCTGAAGAAATGTTTCCAGTGGTTGATGTGTAAGCGTGAACCCAAGAATAAGTATAAGACTGTGTTGCGGGACATGGACGAGGACCCCAGCTGGCCCCCTATAGGAACACCTGTATTTAGTTTTCAGGGAACATGACAGTTTAAGTGAAGTACTTGTAGTTTCTATGTTAAATAGGTTGTGGGTAAGGTTTCGTACATTATTTTTTATGTGATCAGTGGTTGTAGTGCTAATCTCTTTTTTAATCAAAATAATTCAAATTTACTTTTTTACAAATTAATGTATGGTAGCAAACTTGTTATTATTGTAGCCAAAGGCACATATGATATATAGAAATGTATAGCATTTAAAAATAATATTTTTTTAAAAGTAGTTTCAAATAAAGATGTTTTTATTATAAAGATGCAAACATGAAAATATTTATAGTATTATATTTTGAAGTGAAAGTGGATGGGAACTATTTGACCTCTGTATGTGTTATTGATATACAACATATGGTGGACATCTACACTTTATTACGAGCTAAAACTTAATGGTTTATGCATTATGATATTTTTTAATACTTATTGTACCTGATGTAACATTACAAAACATTATTACATGTATACTAAATTGATGATCATTAGTTATGATCAGCGTTGTACGCGTCAACGAAAAAAGTGGCGGCGCCAGCGTCAGTGTAAACGGCCGATAAATTTGATGCTGTCAGCGTCGGCGTAAACGATTTCATAAATTGACACCATTAACGTCAGCGTCAACACCTTGCGGCAACGAGTTTTCAGTGACATACAAATGCAGCCCTGAAATGCGTATTCTCCTGTGTATGGGAGTAACATATGCAAAATAAAAAATATTCATTCATTTTTAATCAGTTATTATGATTTATATTATATCATTTTAATTCATTTGTTCCCCTGCAAGAGTACGAGCATCTCAAAATGCTTGTAGAAAGCTGCGCTGGCGGCGGGCACGGCAAAATTTTTCCCCTTTGTCTTTATAACAAGATACTGTTATTGAAAATCGAACTTGGAAAAATAAACATTTTTAAAGTTGGCGAACAAATTGATGCTTGACGCTCCGCTCGGGTGAAAAGTTGACTACGTCACCTGTAGCGTCACCTGCCCAAAAAAATTGATGGCGTCAGCATTAACAAAAAGTTGCCGCCGTCCATTGATGGCGTTAAATTAACGGCGTCAACGTACAACACTGATTATGACAATGTAGCATCATTGTTTAGGGATACAAATTTGTAAAAAGGTTTAGTGTACAGTCCATCCTAATGGTGCCTAACACCAACAGCCCAAAAATATGATAAAGATCAGGGGATTCAACACCCTCTACAGACACCCCATTTTGACCAACAGATCTGACCAGTTACAAATTAGTCTAATTTTGGCACATTATATTTTACTTGTACTTATCCTGCTCTCTCTCATTTTGCCTCTTCATAAGTGCTGACTTTCCACATATATCTTGGGCAGTAGACAGTTACATTGTATGTTATCAGAGTTAGCTACATCTAACAAAATACAGTATGTGATTTTCCATTCCCTAAAGTACCACTTTTTTTTCCTATGTTACTCAAGGTACAGGTTAATATAAAATACAATATTTTAAGATTTTTTCAATTTGTTTTCGATACAGTAAGCCCTCTTCCAATGCATATTTCTCCAGCTCAGATTCACTTGTACAGTATGGTCTCACAGTATGTGTATCCATAGTACACAACCCTGCTTACATGTGGCAGACCCTCTGAACCACCCTTACACTTGGGTCTCGCTCTCACACAAGCATCTTTTGCTACTTATGTGGGGATCCCAGGGACATTACCCTTGGTACACTGTGCATGTTCTTGTACTTTCTAAATCTATCACTCTCCCATGCCTTTTTCTCACTTAGCATCCTACACACTTTCTCCCTCCCTTGTAAGCTGTAATCGCACTAATACTCTTTTTCTGTATTTATCTACTTTGTACTGTTTTTTTTTTTTTGGTGAACTAACTCTTAAACAGTATGGATTTTAAATATAAAACAACTTCAAGTGGTGGTGCAGTAAAGTAAAGCCTGAAGTAATGACAGTAGAAGAGAAAAATGTAGTTCTAGATAAGCTACAAAGAAGAATGAGTGCAGCCTCTTTATTATGAAGTTCATTTCCCCCTGTTATTTTTTATTGAAGTTCAGAAAAAAAGTGGAATCCAACATGAATACAGTGGCTTATATGGAGGGGGGTATGTGGCCATGGCCCCCCTTTTGCTACTGCCCTTAACTCGTTCAACTCAACGCAATCATTTCATGAGGACGTAAGTACTTGGAAATTAATTTAGGCCCATAGTCATAGAGGAAAGCCTCCACCAGAACAGAGATTTCCACCGGCATAATATTTCTGCATTGATCAGATTGCAATATATTGTTCATTGTTTCACACACACACAAAACTTAGTATGGCTAGAGGTAAATTATGCTTAAGCTTCCCCTCACCGGATCCACAGACGGCAATCTAGAATATAGTACGTGTGCGGGTCTTGGAGTGATTGAATTATATGTCAATGGGATAAATTGCTAATATTGATCATAAAATATGTCCCTACTTGCACCACTGAACGGAAATTAAATAATTCCCAATCTTCAAATCTTCTCCCCCCTCCTTTCCAGAAACTTATACTCTGTATATGCCACTGCTCTAATATGACATAAAAAATATAATATAAAACTATAAAATAAGAAAAATAAAGAGCTTGGGTGTGTATTCTGTGTGAAGTCAGTGGGCAATTTGTCAATAGTGCACCTGGCAACTTAGCTAATTAAGTTTATTTCAGTTTAAACACGAGCACCTCACCTTGGATATAATTTTACTTTTTCCTCTTCACTATTGATTGTCAAGTTAAATTTATTTAAATTTAAGCTAAGCTAAAAATAACCAGTGTCGCCAGTCCAGCTGCCTGCCTCCCCCAATGTGACGTCATGGCATACACACACACACATCTCTGGCTGCCTGGCTGAACTGTCACCTACTCTTGGCATCACCTGGAGGGTGGTTTGAGAGCGAAAGGAGATAGTTTTTGTACATAAGTTATACAATATTTAATTTTGTTTTGCCATGTATCATTTTTATTGTTTATTATAGTATATTTTGTTAATTTTTTGGCATTTACAAAATACAAAATTAGTTAGGACTGGAAACTATTCTCATTTGCTTCATATTAAATACCTGTAGTCTGTCTATGATAACTAAGTTTCCAAGGACAAAATGAATTTCATGTACGTATGTATATATTTTCTTTTTATCGTGTGGGAATATCTTTTGTTTGGTTTTATTATATTTTTAGTTCATATACAACACAGTACGTATATGTTGGGCTTTTTATTTAGGGGTACTGTTTATATAAAGATGTACTTATCAATATAACTACAGGTAGTCCCCGACTTACGACTGCTTGGACTTACGACTGTCGGGACTTACGACCGCCGCAGTTGTGACCAATTTTTTTTTTTTTTTCAAAATTTTTTGTTTTTTCTTCAAATGACACACGCATTTTCTATACCGAAACGTTTCCAGTTAATGTAGTCTCCATGTATAATTAGAAAATTATGGGGGCCTCATGTGCATTCAGCTGACTACATTAAAGGTAAGTGCTCAGTCACACTGTATCCATTCCTCATTATTTATTACTTTCACTGTACTGTATCCATTCCTCATTATTTATTACTTTTACTGTACTGTATTTCATTGTAGATTTTCTATTAAAAAAAAATAGAATTTTTTTTTCTTTTTTTATCTATGTCGGACTTACGACCATTCGGACTTACGACCTGGATTTGGGTCCCTAACCCCGTCGTAAGTCGGGGTCTAGCTGTATTTGAGAATTTACGTGGCCACACTCCCCAAATCCGATTAATCTCATAAGATAATAAATTCCTCCAATGCAGATTTCTCCAACACACTGTTTTTAAGAAAACTAACCATGTGTTGGAGGAGGGCTTACTGTAAGTAGTTTGTACAGGAATTCTGTGAATTATGGAGATGGTTTACATTAAAAAGTAAAATAAGGAATAATGTTTTAACTTCACTGATGGTGTCCAGTGACTGGTACAAATAGTGTCTGCAAATTCCTTGGCCAGGGATACCGTTAGATGTTTCCCAGATGTCAAGTTAGAGAACTAATTCTTTTATTTAAACAAGAAGGTAATTGTATAGTATTAGTCATATACAATTTAATAGTACTTTGGAAAGGGGCCACAGATTTGGCAATGATGTGTTGGTGAAGTACAGGGTATAAATTTGTGCCATTTTATAAGTACAGTTGTTTAATACTGAATCAAATAGCATCATGGTGTGGGTATTAGTGGTACAGCAGTAGTATACTTGCCTCTCACAACTATGTTCTGGGTTCAAATCACTGAGTCAAATGTGAGAATGTTGTTTTCCGTTGTGACCCTAACATGGCAGGTTTTCTCTGGGTACTTTGGTTTCCTCCTATACTAACACTGGACAATGAAGGTTGTAACAAAGTGACAAAAAACAGACCAACTGCCCAAATGGCTAGTAAGGTGATAAGTGGTGGAGATGATGACGAATGAAAATAAAGGGAATATTAAAGTTAAGCCTCTTTATTGTGGCACAAGTTCATAAAGATGGGACATACTGTTATAAATGGGCTCTTTCATCAGCAGTAAATTTTTATACATTACCATAATGTGAATCTACCCGTGTGATTTATTCACCTTTAAGTACAGGGTGAGCAAAAAGTTATTTACCTTGTTCTACTTATGGTAAATATTGGAAATGGTCACAGTAAATGTAGGAAGCTGATACCATTTCTAGTACAGTATTTACTCTAAGTAGAATAAAGTGCATGACAATATACATGTAGGTCCAGTACATTATAACAGAGAACAATTACATTGATAATTATTGTAGGTGCACAAGGACTTTTTGATCACCTTGTAAAATAAACAGCAGGAGTTATCACATAAGAAGGCAGGTCTTATTTATTGTTGACTTGGCAGGAATACTTTGATCCAACCATATTAAGTTTAGAATTTTTATTGTGATCTGTTGCTTTTATTTATGAAATCAAATCTTTTTTTCATCAGTATTTTTATATTATGTGATGTTTATATACAGATATTTAGTGTAAGTTGCTTTATTTACAGTAGAGATTTAATTTATTGTATTATATTTGTTCAGTAGGTACAATTGTCACTCATAGATGATTAAAGTTTGTTCAAAATAGAAATACCGGGACAGGTATTAGTAAAGTTACCTTAGAGAAAAGAAGATTAGTTACAGGCACTTTGAAAACATGCAGTGCCACCCTCAGTATGAGTTATTAACAAAAACATATGCTTCTAAAGTCAGGTAAACATTAATATTCAGTATAAAATAATCCAATTTACACCAGAAATATTTCAACTCTTAATTGCACTGTGATTAAGGTGTCCAGTGAATGTGGTACTTAGGTGGCCAGCTGTGATACCTTAGAAACATGCACAGTTCTTCCCACAATACAAGTTATTAAACAAAACTACAGGCTTTTACAAGTTGGTAAACTTTCCCATTCAATATTAAGTAAAATGATATACATTACAGACAAGTATATTCAGCTCTGGAGATTGGGGTGAAGGATCATGGTGTGTCACAGAGCCTGGAGGATCATGGTGGTGTGGCTAAGAGACTGGAGAATCTTGTTGCTGTGGCTCAGAGACTGGAAGATCAAAGTGGTGTGGCTCAGAGGTGGGAGATGTTTGTTGCTCTGGTCTTGAGCAGGTGGGCACATTGTAGGTGACTGGCAGAAAACTTTTCCTAATTTTTACACCGATGGAAATCTTTTGGATACTTTACTTTTAAAACTCACATTTATTTGAAATAAGGATACTGATTAATTTATTGGATATTTATCAATCATTAACCATTGAATCATACACTTGTGAGGGATCACTATAGTGAATTAGCTGGCCTTTATCATCCTAGGCAAAGTAAATCTATGAAGAGTTTAATATTCATGAGGAACATGTTTCATTTTTTTTCTTTTCAATATCTGATTTCACATTTTGTCCAGAGTATTGTCTCACTTCCTGGTTGTATGTATCTCAGTACTCTTAACCCACTTGTTTACTGTTTTCCTCTTTCCATCTCCTGGCAGTGTTAAGATGACTTTATTTATATTTTTACATGTTGCCTGGGTTCTACCTTTACAGTATATGTTAACTGTTTAGTTTCTAACACATATCACTGAATTATATTTTATGTATTTTTTTTAAATAACTATGGCAACTCTTCATGTGTCCAGCAATCCACTATTAGTGCTGCCAGTGTTTTAAAGGCAGGTGAACATTAATAGTTGTATAAAATAACAAAATTCACACCAAAAATATTTCAGCTTTTAAATACAGTACAGTACTGTAAGAGATTACAGTGAATGGTGGTGGTGGACTTTGGTTATGGTGTTGAGCTAGTATGGTGCTTGGGTGGCCAACTGTGAAGCCTTAGAAAATTATGGAGTTCCTCCCACACCATTAGTATGTCCCACTACTAATGTTTGTTAGGAGAGTTAGATAGATGACAGGGAGACTCCATAGGTGTAAGAATCTTCAAAGAAAAAATAACTGTTTTAAAGTAGGTATTCTTTGACCAGTTTATAATGATGACTTAGAACATTTGGAAAAGATATAAACCTTTCAATTTGGTCAAGAAACTGACGAATGAAGTATTAAAGATAATTAATTAATGCAAACTGATGAGATTGTATCCGAGAACTTCAGGTTAAGATATGTTTAATACAATACTGTAATAGAATTACTATACACTTATGGAAAGTGGTGAGACTTTAGCTTGATTACCATCATGTATCCTGTGCATAGTAATCAGTATATATTGATCCAGCTTTTAAGGGTAAAAAGTGTTACATTGTAAGTGTTAAATGGGTAGAAGTTTCAGGTGTCTTAATTCTTATCAATATTTAAAGTGATTATAAGTGTAGTGTATTAAGCA